GGAGGGGTAAAGATGAAGAGAAAAGGGGGTGGGGTTCTTTATCAAATATGCGCCTCCACTTTAATTTTTTTTTTTAAAATTTTTTGCTACATCAGCTTTTAGGGTGGTATTAAATTCATTTCGGACAAGTATAAAATGGAAAAGGAATACCCGTAAAGGTTGAACGAGAAACTGAATTTTGGGGACAAGTTTAGGGAGCATGTTATGTATTATCCTTTTAAACTAACTGTTGGAAATTAAACCAAGATTAATTAGTTTTGATTTTGTAGTATTATAAATAAGGCTGCTACTACATATTTTCTATGGTAGAGAGGTAGCTATAATGTAGAGAGATTCAAGAGTTTATGAGTTGTGAAAAAGCCTCCTAACAAGCTCTCTCCCTAGTTTAATAAATTACTTCTACATAGCTTTTGCTGAATTTTTTGCTTGTGCCTAAATTTTTCTTCGACATTTTCAATCCTTCAAATTGGTATCAAAGCCTAGGTGAGATTCTGTCAGAGCCGGTAGGAGATCCAAAAAAAATATGGATACTCTATTACCTAATTGTCCCGTTTTTGTGTTTGATGGCAAAAGCAATTTTGAAATTTGGTATCAATAGGTGAAGAATTTTTTTAAGGCTATTGTATTATGGTCCACCATTGATAAAGGATTTGATGAACCCCCAGAATGCACAACATTGACGGGTGATGCAGTTACTCAATTGGAGAAGAATAGACATTTAGATTATGAGGCACGCTACTATCTCGCCATCAAAGTCGAATTGCATGTATCTAAAAAATATTTGCATGCAAAGTCATCAAAGGAGGCTTGGACAATCTTGGTGAAGTCATATCGAAAAGTTACTAACATAAAGAAGGAGAAACTACAAAAGTTTAAGAGTCAATTTGAGTTGGCTCGTATGAGACCAACAGAATCTATCAAAGAATCTTTTACAAGAATTGAAGAAATAGCCAATAGTCTAAGGACCAATGGAGAAATATTAGAAGAAGTTAAACTTATTGAAAAAATATTGCAGTCTCTACGTTTAAAGTTTAGCAACAAGAAAATTATTATTGAGGCTACAAAAAATCTTAGTACTCTCGAACTTGATGATTTAGAAGGTGAATTGGTGACATATAAGAGATCATTGAATCAAGAGAATGATGCGACATTGGAGGATGTATCGCAAGAAAAGGTTGATCAACCAAAAGAAAAAGAAGACATCAAATCCGGCGGAGATAAATCAATATGGCTAAAATTCAGAAACATACGAGAAAAAAGAGAAGGTACATGTAATTTTTGTTGTGATAGAGATTATATTGAATGCAAAGGAAAGTCAAATAATATTCAAATCGATCTTTCAAAAATTCATGCGATTGATAAAAAGGATGATTTAGTTGCAAAGGATGTCCGTCCAAAAGAGGTTGGTATTTCACAAAAAAATTGTTTAATGGTATTAAAGATGAACCGAGTAATGAAAGAAGCAAAGCAAATTAAAACAAAGAGAAGAAAAAAATACATGTCTTTCATTCCTTTCTGTAGCATTATTTATACAAGTGTATTGTTGTGCATTTGAAATTTAAATACGCTGTCATATAATATTACTCCAAATATGGTAATATAAATCAAGAACAACTATACAATTTCCCAACATATATTTTTTTTCAATTATTAGTTAGATATTCCTCGTCAAAAAAGATACCTATAGTAATTATATTATAAACAAATCAGGTTAGATACATCAAAGTTTGTACTACTATTTATTTTCCAAATAAAGAATTATAATTGAAACTCAAAAGGAATGTGTAAGCTACAAAAATAAAAATTTAATTGATTCTTTGTCAAAAAAAGAGACATAACATAACTGAATTATATACAAAAGTTTAACTAAAGATACCTACAATAATTATATTGTACACAAATGCGGTCAGATACAAAACTTGTACTAAATAAATAATTATTGTTGCAAATAAAAGCAAGAGAAAGTTTCTAATGATTCATCCAAGTTTAAGGCAAAAACATCTAGGGATCTAGAACCACAACAACACATGACAATAGATATTAAAGGTGGAATAAATTTTGTGCCATTGTTCGAGATTACGTGTTTCAAGGAGCAAGACGAAATACTATTAATGGCATTACTCTACAACCTGTAGAATGGCCAATTAGAGTTGAATCTGTGTGCGAGACCGACCACAAGGCAATTAGAGAAGTAGATGATTTCAAAGTAAAGGAAAAATATGTTGACGATGTTTTGAAGGAATTTACCAAGGTTATATCCAAATCATATATAACCAATATTGAAGAGAAATTGAAGTTAGACTAGAGGTGGCACTCGTGATTTTATTGATGCTACATATTTTAGGAAATTGGTGAATACTCTAAGGTACTTGACTTATACACGACTTGATGTTACTCATGGCATGATCAATTATTATGGTTGTCCATGGGGCGGGCCGTCCCGTCCCGTCCTACTTCATTTTCAACGGGATGGGCCAATGTTAAACGGGACACGGGATGGGACGGGATGACCATTTCATCCCATTTGTCTCGTCCCATTTTGTCCTGTCCCGTCCCGTCCCGGCTATCCCGTTCTGTCCCGTCCCGTTCCGTCCCGTCTGTCCCGCGAGTTTTTATGGTATATTTGTGGAATTTCTATTGTATTTGGCAAGTATAAAACAAATCCAACTTATGCATCGGCCATTAATGAAATGATTTCAAAATTAATTTTTTTTTTCCTATTCCCGAAGTTTATTTAATTTCTACTCTACTTAACCCATCTTTGAAACTAAGAGGTGCAAAGGGACTTGTTCGTAAAATTTATGAGAATTTAGCAATTCAAGAAAATGAACAACCATCTCTTGAAGACTGCCAAGCTAGCATATATTCTTATTGTAACGACCCGACCGGTCGCTTTGAGCTTTTGCATTTCGCCCGCCAGTTCTCGGGCATGACTTGCCCNCTTTAAAACTAAGAGGTGCAAAGGGACTTGTTCGTAAAATTTATGAGAATTTAGCAATTCAAGAAAATGAACAACCATCTCTTGAAGACTGCCAAGCTAGCATATATTCTTATTGTAACGACCCGACCGGTCGCTTTGAGCTTTTGCATTTCGCCCGCCAGTTCTCGGGCATGACTTGCCCCGTGTGGTGTATTATAACTTATATAAATCGTTGGTGTTGGGTTTCAGGTTAATTAGAATGAATTTGGAAGAACAGTCTCAGTTGAAAGCTTAAAATTTGAAAGATTTGACCAAAATTTGACTTATGTGTATTTGATCTCGGATGGGAATTTTTATGATTTGGTTAGCTCCGTTAGATGATCTGGGACTTAGGAGCGTGATCGGAATGCATTTTGGAAGTCCGTGGAAGGTTTAGGCTTGGATTG